CTACTTTTAAAAACTTTTAATGGTAATGAGTTTTTGCCACACACATTTGTCTAAAGAAATTTTAGAAGAGGACTTCAAATTCTAGTTTATAACATTCCTTTTGAATATGGTATTATTGTTACTGCGCAACGCACGGTTGGAACACTAGTATATATATTAAAGGAGAAACCATGAGTGTTCAATCAATCATTTATTATATATAGGGTATATTTCAAATACAACAAATCGCATTGTTACAACCGATGCAACATCAATTCAAACCGTCTATTTAATATTTTCTTTTTTTCATTTTATAAATTGTTAAAGAGTAATATCGGAAATTCTAAATATAACATAATTATTGATTTTTTATTTTTTTATAATAATTATCTAGAATTAATTGGATTGCATTCAAAAATATTGAGATATCCTAGTTAATACACGTCTCTTGCTTCATCGGATTTTTCTAGAATGTTGCATCAAATTTCCAGAAATTGTCTCTTCTCTTTTCTTCTTTTCTCTTGTCTCCTAACAAGAGCAATGCATGCACCCTTATTGCATGAATCTTGTTTCATTGTGTTTATAGTAATGAATCTAATTGTGTTTATAGTAATGAATCTAATTGCATTATTGTGTTYATGGAGTGAATCTTGTTTCATTGTTTAATCACTTTTGAATCTAAATACATTATTACAATCTTAATGCATTAGTATAAGATTCATTTTGAAGAGAATTTGAATACGGGGTTGAATATGTATGAAATCCGAAATAAATTCAAATGCATTACGCTTGTGTTTATAAATTCTTTACATGGATGCATTTGGTAAATCACATGAATCAACATCATTGTCAACATCAACTTCATCAAAACGTCTTCTAAGACTCTTGCAAACTTCATCATCTACAACAATCAATGATTGCATTGAAGAACCGACTTTGTCGCCTAAGTGAATAAACCGTTCTTCGGATTCAAAAATGTCTATCATGTAAACTTCGTTGACATAATTTAATGGATCCATTAATGCTAATTTTAAATGCAAGCAAGAAATTAAGAACCTTAATACGAAACCACCGTAAAAAATCGTTGAAGGAAGAGCCCATCACTGGAAAGAATCGATGAAGGAAGAGACCATCTCCGGAAAAAAATTGATGCAACATTCTAGAAAAAATCCATGAAGCAAGAGACGTGCATTAATTAGGATATCTCAATATTTTTTAATGCAATCCCATTAATTTTGGATAATTATTTAAAAAAATCAATAATTATCTTATATTTAGAATTTCTGATATTACTCTTTAACAATTTAAAAAATGAAAAAAAAGTATTAAATGGACTCCCTAACTATAAATTAAAATTTGAATTGATGAGATGTGATTGTATTGGTTGTATGAATGGCAATGGTTGCACAATAATTCTCATACATATATATATATATATATATATATATATATATAAACAACCACAAAAAATAAGATAAAAACTTTTAAAGTAAGAATCGCTCCTTTCTTTTTTCTCGATTTATGGTATTTTGTCTTCTTTTTTCATTTCATTCTATGTTATTTACCAATATTTATTTATAATTTTATATGTCCTTTCAAATATTCAAATATATTTGTTTTTTTATCCTTATTTTGATTTATTTTTAATGTAAAATCAACACATTAATTACTAAGCTTTTTATTTTCTTGCAATTTTAATTTTATATTAGTTTTTTATAAATAAAATTAGAATCAACCTATCAATCCTTATTCTATCTATTCATTTTCATCTCTCACACCCTCTCAAATTCTATTTATATCTTATACATGTCTGAGGGGCCGTTTACTAAACGTTTACCCGGTAAGTACTTAAAGAGTAATTTTTCTCACCGGTTGAACATGGCAAGGGCCAAGAATCTTACCCGGTAAGAACGATGATAAGGATGGAGAGTCTTACCCGGTAAGTGAGAGTGGCGACTCTTGCCCGGGTAAGCGCTTACCAGGTAAATTGTTGTATAGGGGAAACGTTTTGATGTACTATAATTTTACCCAATAAAATAAATTATAGTGTTGACTCCTAACATTAAGCACTTACCGGGTAAACATTTAGGTAAACGGCCCCTAAATTTATTTTCTTTCTCTTTGGTTTTTCTTCTATTTTACTTTTGATATTCTTTATAGTTTTTTCTAGTTTTTTCACTTTTTCCATAATTTTGTGTATGTTTGTATCGTTATTTAGATTGCATTATAGTTTTTATGCATTATGTCATGAAGATTTGAAGAAGTCTTCAAGTTCAGTATTTGATTTTAATTTTTTTCGTTGCAATATAAGATAATAATTATATATATTTATATATTTTTTGTTTCATGATTTTGATTGCATTATAATTTTATTTATGTATGTATCATGATTTTGTTTGCATTATAACTCTTATGTATTAGGTGAAGATTTGAAGTGTTCAAGTTCACCATGTAATTTTTACTTATGTTGAGCGTTTTTTGCTTTGCAGGTTCTCGATTTCTTTAACTTTTATGTATCAAGTCTTGAAGATTTGAAGTTTTCAAGTTTGGGTTGTGGAAGTTTATGATTATGATCTAAGGTAAAGATTTATGCATGTTTGTTTTGTTATTTAGATTGTATTAGAATGTTATGTATGTTTGCATCATAATTTTGATTGCATTATATTTTTAAGTATGTTCTTATCGTAAGTTTAATCATATGATAATTTTATGTATGTTTATATTGTGATTTTGATTGCATCATAATTTTATCTTTTGGGTTATAAAGATTTGAAGTCTTCAAGTTTGGTATGTGATTTTTTACTTATCGTATGGTTGGTCCATTAACTATTATGTTTTAAAAGTCAATGTATGTTTTGATGATGAAAAAATGGTACATGTTCACTATCTTTTTTGGTGTTTATACATCATAATCAACATCACACAAAACTAAGTTTTTGTCGTCAAAACTAAGGGGTTGTTTGTTTACCTCTTAATAGTTCCATTAAGAGGCAACCTCTGAATCATTAAGAGGTGAATCTTGTTTGGCAAAAAAAAGTCTGCCTCTTAATGATTCTAAAACCCTCTTAATGATTTTGTATCCTGTATCTCCCTTAACCATTAAGTGCCATAATTTCATTGTACACAATTACCAAACAATTATATTTCATTTTGCACTATATCATGAGAGCCTCTTAATCATTCTGCACCAAACCATTCAGCAATTGTCAAACAGCCCCTAAGACAATAGTAATTTCCATGTCTATGATGAATCCAATTTAAATTTTAGTTGTTCGTTCGTTGGTCAACCATGATTAGCTATTGCTTACAACAATCGGTAAGTCTATAATATAACGAATGCTATTGCTTATATACATTGCATTGTATGATTCCTCAAGATTATATAATATTATATTTCATTCAACAATTAATAAAATACTTTTAATTTATTTTGTATTATTTATTCGTATTATAAATTTCGTTATATCACTTCCTTTATTGTGATTGCACATCTAACTATTCAAATGACTATATGTACATGAATTTATTTATAAAAATCTGGAAAAGAAGTGTTACAAGCTAAAATACCTACGGTAGTGCTCAATAAGCATACAATACTTGCTGGTTGCGGCTAACAATTTTTAATACAAATTGAACTTCAACGAATCATTGTTTTCTAACCGAAAAATATAAAATGTATGAAGTTCTTTAGTTACAAGAAACAATATCAATGAAAAAAATTGCATCAAAAACACCTAATGCAATCATCGTCTCATATTACAATTTATTATAAAATTATGTTTCACTTTAATGTGATTATGTATATTCTAACAAAACAAATTCATCATTGTGCAACACGCGGTGTGTGAAGTAAGAACCAATGAGTTGTTCAATGAGAAGTTTTCTATCATATTCTTTTTTTATTTTTTTATTTTTAATATACAATCAACACATTAATTGTTAAACCTTCATTTTCTTACTTTTTTAACTTCATTTTTTTATAAATGAAATTTGAAATCCACAATACATAAAACTACATATATTTTTATTTATATCAATAAATGTATATTTTTAGTTACATGAAAATTAAAAAAAATAAATCATCAAAATCAATCAACATATATCAAAATACATTAAATTTCTCAATCAATCAATATATCAATATAAAATTAAAAATATATCAAAACGAAAGTTTTGAAAGTATGTTACACAAAATAGGAATCAAGTTAAAGTACGTTTTTTTCCAATCGATTTGCCCTAAATTTAATTATAATAATATAACAGAACTACAAAAATTATACAAAAACTGAAAACTTTTAAATCGTAAATTTGATACTTACATACATTTTTTCATATTTTTATGGGGTCTTAGAATTTATATTTTATCCAAATATAAAAATACTATTGTTTTCTCAAAATCATATTATAAAATTGAAAGAGACAAAGAATAAAAAAACATTAAATTGAGATTTATCTTGCTAAATAGAGAACTAAAATATACATATTTTTTAAATTCATTTAACTTCAATATTTTCTCTATTTAAAAAAAATCAACATTACTCATATTATTAAATATTTTGTAAAATTGTCATCTTAATAAACTTCTAAAATTTTCTATTATACATTTTGTCATTGGTGGAAAGTGGAAACGATAGAAAGACAATTTTCTCTTGAACATTCAGTTTTAGAGTTTTGCAAAATTGAAGATGTTTATGCTCTATCTCCATTTTAAAAAAACTATTGGAGCAAAAACTAAAATTTTCATTTTTTTCTATTTTAAAGTATCTGTTCGGAATACGTTACGACCCCAACCTATCGCGGTTAACAGGTTATGTGACCAGATATAGCAGTTACTACCGATTATGACATCTTATAACTAGTAGAAGGATCCGCTTAACCGGTTTTGAAAATAAATGATATACGACTCATTCTTTTTGAGCTAAAGTAGCTCCTGTTACATCGTTTCCCAAACACCCAACAGATAAAGGCTTTTCTTTTATCCCAACAAATAAAAGGATAGTTTCCGTAACTAACGGCTTAACTTCTATTCAACCGCTATAACCAATTTTCAAATTTCAAGAAAGAATAAGATGCAAAATGCAAGTTCATACCCCCATTCTCTTTTTTTTTTCCTTTTTCATTATGCAACAAGATGACATGATACAAACCAAACATAAAGAAAAGTGCAAAGTTTCAAAAGTTTCAAAAGAGTTTTTAGAGAAAAAAACTTGAACCAACTAATGCAACCTTGTTAACTCTTCTACTCTCTTCATAAGCTCCTCCACCGAAACATTCATAGTTTTTGAAATCTCTTCCATTCGGCTCCTACCCAGATCAAGAAACGACTCGATTAAATCTCCGTCCAAGAAATTTCTCGAGTCCACGGTTTTCTTTTCACTATAAAACGATCTCCATTGCTCATGGCTCAACCCTCCGACGCCTTTTATAACCTTCCTCAAGTTTGTTTGAAGTTTCTCCATGAAAACATACTGGTCCTGAGGGAGGGAGGCGATGACGCCGATAACACCGTTGACGGTTCCAAAAATGATGGTCGGGATTTGGCCGACATCGGAATCTGGCAAACGCATCACGAGGGAACCGTGTCGGAAGCGGTTCACGAATTCACCGAGATGGTATTCGCCGACTACCTCTAGACGGCCGCGTTCCTCATCGGTGGCGCCTTCGCTGTTTTTACGGACGGTGAAAAGGTTAAAGTTGTTCTCAGCACCAAGATAAATGTCATCGTCGAGAATCTCTACGGCTGACATCCAGTTCGCATTGTAATCACGGGCTCGTTCCTCTATAGCGCCTTCCTCATGCTGAAATCAACAGCAAATGAATCACGTAACGCACAAAAATATAACTCATAGTCTGTTACTATACTCCCTCCGTCCAAAGATAAATGATCATAATCAAAAAGGCACAGTTTCAGATTATTACAGATTTTAATCAACTACATGACAATTTTACCTTTTAGCAATCGAGAGTAATGAACTTCTCCATCTCATAATTAAGAGTAGAATTGGAAAATACACTTATTTTGGGAGAAAATAAAATAGAAATGTGGACACTTGTTTTGGGCCAGAGGAAGTAATAGAGAAGCAGATAATAAAGTTTCAGTTTTATGCATACAATTTTACTCACTGAATCAGACACAAATACAGTGCAGTATCAGAACTTTATGGGTCTTAATGGTCGGCTTTGACATCCTTTCCTAAACGACAAGCATCAGAAATGGTCACATTGCATCTTGGATTATGGAGAAGGTTTTAGAATAAGACCATATAGGTCATGTAAGGAGATTTGATGCAGGACGGAATTATGCAACACCAGGGATTTGAAGAATTACTCTTCAAAACCCTAGGGATCTCTTGCATTTTCGGATCTAAGATATTTGGCATCACATCAAGAATTGAAAGCAAGCTATAGACTGGCTTACAAATAAAAAACCCAGTTTATGGAACAGCCCATGGAAACCCAACGTTTAATTAACAAGACAAAGCTGAGAAAAATTGTAGAACCTAATGAACCTCACCATCACCAATACCGATTGCCAACAGACAAATAAGTAAATTTGCAATGATCTTTCCCAAAAAAAGAAAATTTTGCATTTCCTGATAAAAAAAGTCCTGCGTTCTTTGGGACATAGGGTGTATAAACTATAAAGGTCATTGTGATTCCTATCAAAACTGTCGTGTCAAAAAGCCGCATTTCCACTATTTGTTTGAGAGCATCATGATTCTCATAGTTTGCCAATATGGCATAGAGAGAAAGCACAAGTGACTACCAAAGTCAAGTTATAAGGCAATGTATAGAAACTTACAGTTGATATGAAAGAGATGGTATTGAAAAACGAACACAAATCAGCATTATAATTGTTACGTAATATAGAATACGCAACTCCAAATATGGTCCTATGGTGGTGCAACTATGTATTAAAGGCAATGGCAAAATAGAAATTAGATTATGGTTATTACCATTTGTTTGTCTTTTGTGGTCATGCAATAGGGTCTCAACAAATAACCAGCAAAACGAACTTAAAGCTTTGGTTAACTAGAAGTAACAAGAAGTATACAGGTTACTTTTATTGTATTGAATAGATGCACAAAATCGAAGAGTGTTGGTAAAGAAGTATAATTAGAGTTGGGTACCTTATATATCAACAGTGAAATTGATTTCATCAAATCACCAACAACGATGAAATCCCCACGAGTTTGTACGTAAAGAGCAAGTATGTGGCCATGATGTCCACATTCAGATTGTAACTCTCGTGTACCATCATCACGAAGCATCCACTTGTACAACTGAATCTTTTGATTTATAGCAGCAAGGAGTTTACCGTTAAAGGCATTCAAGGAGTAGACAGCACCCTTAGTTTCTTTCTCAGCAACTAGCTGTAGCTTCCCATCTTCAACCATGAAAACCAAAATACGGCCCTGCACTTGTTCATCAAAGAAAATAAATATAACAAACATTAAGATGTCTATTAAATAGAAAAAAAAAGAATAAAATATTCTTCTACTGAAACGATAAAAGAAGGTAACAAATTTGTACAAAGTAGCAACATATTTGGGTATCATACCTTTGTTGGTTCATTTTCCTCGGGCATAACATAAGCTGTCCCGACACAGTAATACGCATTACTATCATCTGAGAAAGAGCAACTTAATATGGAACAACCATACTCAAATTGGTCGAGTGAGTAAGTCGATATAAATTCAAATGTCTGGTCATCTAACAGGCGGATGAAGTGCATTTCGGAATCTTCTGTGCTAGACTGATTGTACTTTAGACTACATATGGCAAATGTACGAGACTGTTCCTGATGGCAGATACGTCGTGCATGTTCACCTAGAGGAATTGAACGGATGTGAAGCTTCTGAATATCGTCAATTGTGCCAATTGTTAACTCCCCTTCTTTCGCAATGGCAAGGCTATTACCCATGAGAAAAATATGTTACTAAATAGAACTTTAAAATACTATTCATCAAATACACTAGATTTGTCACATGCATCCTAACTTCTCGAATAAATGTAGTTAATAATTTAATAAAAAGGGATCTTTAGAAAAACCAGATGATCCTATTACAAGTAACGTAAAAGAACATGTAAGCTAGAGTGTGAAGATGGTCACCTGTCTGGAAAAGCAGCTGAATTGAACGGGCACATGTGACTGACTTCTTTCAGGTTCACATTGCTGTAGAGCAACTTCTTGTTACTGCTGTAAATAACCGTTGGTCTATCTGAGGCTGCAAACACATGAGTAGTATTCTTTGATGAAAATGTCCGCAGTGTTATTGGCTGGGTCCCAAGTGACACCTTTTTCCTATCTGTTAATTCACCCGTCGTCGTGTTCAGCAAGAAGTTCAAAAGATGGCCATCTCCAAGGGCACATAATAAGTAAGGTATCTGAAATAAACATTAAACACTCAATAATGATGAAGGCCAGAAAGTTCCACAATAATATTCTCCAAAGCTTATGCTTATGAAGATCAAAGGCATGAAGTTTTATAGCCAAGATCAACTTAATCCTTCAAGGTTCATATGAAGTGCAGAAAGAGGCTACTAAATGAGCTTATATTTTCGCTTGGTCCAAAGGCGACCACAAAACCTCTTATATTTTTCCATTGATTCTAAAATATATAGTTTTAGAACTTCAAAAATCACCAAAAATTCCTGCTTGCATGCCCATAAAATCTATATTAACAGAACTAAAGAAGAATCATACCCCTTCAAAGGCACAAAGAAGAACAGAGCGGGGTATAATTTCACCACCTAAATGTTCCTCAGTGATGAGATTCAGGTCAGGGAGTGAAAATATCCTCACACTAATATCCGTCCACATACCAACCGCAGCAAGGTTACTGAAGTTTGGATTTTCACCAATGGGGTTTATGTCAAGGCATGAGATATCATACTTCAGTTGTGCATGTTTTTTTTCAATCAAGATCCCATCACCAATTTCAAGGTAAACAAGATGACCGCCTCTAGTAGCCAATAGAACCTGTTATGGAAATGATTTTAAGATCGGTCAGCTTGTCTTCTTCAGATAACAAAGTAGGTAGAAAGAAGAGAGATAATAAGATGGGAGATGAAAAAGTTGGGGAATTAAACAAATGAAACACACTTCACATTGAAATAACATCAAGTTAACAATTACTGGCAATGCTTATCAAACATAACAAATCAATAGATTCCAACTAAAAGCTTTTTAAGCCCATCCTATCAAACAGAACTCAAAACCCTGGAATCAAAAACATATGGGGCCCGTTTGGTTTGATGAAATGTTTTTGAGGGATTTGGATTTCATAGAGAGATTTGGAATTGGAATGATTTGGAATTTTTGGTGTGTTTGGTTTGTATGATTTGGAATGGAATTGATTTCCCTTTTTTGTAAATAATTTATAGAAACAAATTAAAAAAATAATCAAATTACCTTTTTATCAATTGATCGTTACAAACAGATGTTTTGAACATATTTCAAAACATTATTACAAGCAAATCCTATGTAGGATTTCAATGAAATCCCGGGATATCAAATCCAAGAAATCCTTCAAACCAAACATGGGATTGGAATGAAATTCAATTCCAAATCCCTCCAAATCCAATAATGTCCCACAACCAAATGGGACCTTGGGATAATAATTTCAAATGCTTCATGGATATATCTTTTGAGAACACAACTGGACATATTGAGCAAGTCTGAGAAAGCAAGTAGCAACAAAATTATTAGCATAGAGTACATTCAAGATAATCAATAATAAGTTATATAACATTCCAACCATATAGTCCAGTACCATCCAAGTTTTGCTATAATAAACATCTGAAGTTCAGAAAATGAATTTTGCTGATTGACACAAGGCTAGAAAGCCAGTCTTTTTGCCCCCTCTTTTTATTCCTCTACCAAGGGGTGGGTGGGGATCTGATCCTAAATCCTAATTGTGGCTGACAGACACCATTTCATATTGTACAAGAAGAAATAAACCACTTGTGGTCCCATAGTCATTGATGCCACCTCAAATCCCACAAACAGAAGAGCCACGTACAGACCTTTGTAGCCATGCTTATAAGATTAAAATGTTTGACCATCCACTATGACCTCAACTGATACTTTAAAATGATGTCTTCGGTCAAGAAATGATCAGCTCTGAGAAAAGTCTTCAATCATTGTAGATGGACCCAGTAGTCATTGTGTACACACAGATATCATTTCTTTGTTTGCATCAATTTAGTTACTTGAAGTACTTAAGAGAATGTATTTGCAAGGTTTAGCACAGAAGTATATTTATGCGTCAGAGCTATCGAGGCTTCAGAACGTTTTACAAGTATCTTGTTTCCGTATTAAGATCATAATGATGATATATTCATATGTGAAATTTTTGACCGTATAGCTCACAGTGTTCTTTGGCATGAACAAGAGAGATGCAGAGAGAGGTCAACCATTTATAAAGGAGAAGAATGGAAGATCCTATCCTAGTTGGGCTTGTTTGTACCTATGAACAAACAAGTGAACAAACCGAAATCCTTCCTCGCTAATATTGATCAGCGTGTTTTTGTAAAGAATATTGTGCAGGTTCAACATACGGGATACAACCTCAGTTGCTTGACACATACCGCCCTGTTGGTTGTGCAGCCTGCAGGTCCTATGAACAAACCCCGATAACCTAAGATAATGTCTATATTTAATTTTCTTTTATTCCACTTACTCCGTTGGTTGACACATATCGCTCAACGAATACTGGGGCTACCGCAATAGCTTTAATTCTGGATCTTATAACAAAGTGGGTACTGACACTGGAAACTGATCATTTTAATTCACATGAGCCCAAATATGAGAGCAAAATGACCAGTGTATACAGTAACTGATTCACTGTCTTGACTCTTAAAACAGTTAGTTTAAACTAGTGTGATAAGGATAGCATCTGGCTACAACAGGAAATAGAAAGGAAAAAAAACAACAGTTTGCCAAACAAAAAGATACCAAAGTAGCAGGTGATTCTTAGATGCATGAAGTGCCACATGATGGAATAACAATACATTAGGCATCCATCGCCAAACACCACATAGAGTAGACATGTTTTAATTAAAATTTCAATGGCTCAAGTGTGATGCACCTGAGTAGCATTAGCTGTGGCAACATTTATGGAGTAATCAGCAGGTGCATGCCATTCATGTCGTAGCTCTCTTGATGTCGAACTGACCAGTCTCACAGAGCTTGAAGTAACCTGAAACATGATTTACTACACGTTTAAGTTAAGAAAATATTTAGAAGAAAATCAATCAAGCATGGTACAATAGCAGACAGACATAAGGAGGCAGCATATGAAGGTATCCTTTATTATATATACTCCATTACACAGGTCTAAAGAGTATAACTGCCAAGCATAAGGCAAAACCACTAAAGTGGATGACATATATGCTACCCACTCGTATGGAATACCTTGCAAGTGAGATGATAAGTGAGAAGTGCCAACTGATTAAAAAAGGACATAGTTATGCTATTGAAGAAGGGCATAATCTAAGCCAGCCAAACAGAAGTCTTTTTGAGAAATTGTGGTATCAAATACACAAACATCATCATGTCACAAGCTTTGGGATCAATCAATCATTAAAAAGGAAAAGGCAAAATAATTTTTGAGCTCTCTGTATAAATAAAAAGAAGAAATAACTTCTGCACCACAAAAAGAGCAATAGGGGTTCACAGCATGCAGAAATTCTTCACATAATCAAAGGTAGGGAAGGATGAAGGGAACGTGGAGTTGTGGAGTCTGAGTATCCTAAATCCTGAGTTCAAGTAAAACCTCTTTTTACATTACATTCCAGTATACCCAATTCAGCACAAAATAACATCTAAAATTAGAGTGACTGAACATCTGCTTTATGTCTTCATTTTCCTCTTTATAAGTGGCAAAGGAATGAAGTATTTGCAAGCTAGCTATAGAACATAAACACCTTTAACTGGATACTAAGGCCAACAGAAGCACGTGATGGTTAATGTTCTTGATATTTTTGTTCACCATTCCATTACTTCAACCATCAAGTAGATAGAGTTCATCAAGTACAAATTTCAGATCACTTTCTTCATGAAACGATGTGGCTTTTATCAAAACCAATTAGATAAGCCGTAGGCTCTAAATAAACCAATAGAAAAAATATTTAGATGTGACTAGCATTCTTAAGCATGGATTGTCCTACGACATCCTCCTATATGAGGCCAAGTCCATTGGTATATTCAACTGCTCAAATTTAACTTGACCACTAACATTTAGCTCGGTAAGAGCCTAACTCATACCCTCTGACCCTCCCTTTGCCAATAGAATTCCTCTCCCACTGGCACACCCGAAATTACTATGTAGAAGATGGCTCAAACCATCTCATTCAGCCTAGAATCATCACAACGAGATTTAAGTAAAAATGAAAATGTCCATTTTATAAGGTCATCAGTCAGAGGCAGCCAGTGTATGCACTTCAACTTCACTTCCACTTTGGTGATACAACAATAGCCATATCAGCAAACTAGCAAAGGAGAAAATACATGCCTTCACAAATCACAACAGGAAGCAACATCAACTCTAGGAATCTTACCTATTTGACAGTCATGGTGTTTGCTTTAGGTCAACTTGAAAGATGAAGAATCCAAAGAATCAGCATATAAAAGATTTGGCAGAAACAAAATCAACCATCACAATTTGCAGAGATAATCATACATGCTTATGCATACCTGAACAAGTTGATTATGCACAGCATCATGACAGAACAAAGTCTGTACTTGAGAACAAAAACCCTCAATCTCAGTTTCCTCTAGCTCATCCTCTAGATTCATTGCCAATATCCGAGTCTCACTAATGAAGCTAACAACCAAGAATGTGTCATACAGATCATCTGTCGCTGATCTTAGCGACCACATTCCTTTGATACCTTGTAGTTCCACAGATGCCTTAAAAATGGAAATTGCCATCGACAATAAATAATCGAACTTACAAAGTATTAGACGAAAAAGAACCTAAGGACAAAGAAAAGAGAAAAGGCCAATCAAATGAAAGTTCATACCTGTTCGTTTATCCCAATCCCGTTTCTAACAATGCGAAGGGAACCATCTTTATATGCTCCTGAGCAAGTCACAACCTGCCCTTGACCTTGCCTCTCTAAATCTACCACACAGAAGTCAACAATTGGGCCCAAGTTGACGTATCTTTCTAGCACTTCCACATAAGAACCTTTTGCATCAGGCTGAAGATTCAACTTAATGAGCTGTAATGTACAATGGAGAAAACAACTTGAATGAGATACTATACCTCAAAATTAACTTAAAGGCAGAAACATTGTAGTATGTAAATACAAATTGCATACTATTATAGCAAAGAGATGACATTAAAGTGCATAGCAACTGCTGTGAGAAAGTGAGGGAGAGAGGAGGATCGTACTGTGAGAGAGACGGGAGGAGAGGCACAGTCAGAAAAAAATAGGGATCATTAGAATATATTAAGAAAAGCAAGCAGTTAAAAGAGGAGTACACCTCGGCTCCGCCTCAGAGCCTCCCATTGCCACCTCAACCACACAAGGCATCGTTCTCATACAGGGCAGCAGAGGCACTGTCATATACGATTTTGGACAGCCTCGCCTTGAGGCATAMGCCTCAATGTTTTTTAAACCATGTAAGTGATAGTGATGCATTTTTGCTTTTGAAAAGATTCAGTTAGAATAAGAAGGCAAAAAAGATGATTTAATATATTATTTGGATTTTATACGTGTGTTCTTCCTGTTTCCGTTTTCCATAAGTGAATATAGGAAGTGCAGATGGTAGGTCGGGTGTGCACGTTCAACCAAAGGCATCATAGAGATCAGCAAAAGCTAACACTCTGGCCATTATAGTTCGAGCAATGCATGGATAGCGTACAACCTATGGGATTCTGAGCCAAAAGGGTTCCTAACAAGTTGAAGACCAACTCATTACTTATTAATACTTGTAAGAAATGTCTCAGGAATAAAAGTATATTTGAGTTTTCATTACCTAATCTTTTTCCTACAAAAGATACTCATACAAATGATTGCTATTCCATTTTTATCACAATTAAATGATCTTTTCTAATACCATTTGGTTATTTTTAACAAGCAAATCATATCTAAAAAAGATCAACTTGTGTTACACAAAGCATCTGACTATGCAGCGTACTGCATGCATCTTCTCACTCTACTTGGTAAAATCCAGTTGACATAACCCAAAATCACCACTGTTATCTACTAACAGCGACACCAAGACATAGGAACTTAAATCACAAGGCCAGCTATTGAGTAATCAGTAATAAAGGATTTTTATCTAAAACTTTGGCACATCAATATTTCATCTATTATATCTTTACGATGGAGAAAATCACAACGCAAGTTGACTAATTAACAGGCATTGTTTACATACCTGGGAATCTCCATAGCTCGAACCAACGTATACAAATGCATTATCAAGATATGATATAGTTGATGCAATTGAAGTTTCCCCAAGAAGCTCAATTTTGAGTCCAGTAACTCTAGAAATAACAGAGAGAGGGTATATTTTAGAGCAATCAATCACAATAACATCAAGCAGGCTTAAATGAACATCCTCGCTAACATTAAAAAGAATGCAAGATAAAGGTCCAATCAGTGCAAAGAAAAGAATACAATATAACTTATATTTAAACAAATAGAATCATAACTCACTTCTCTTTCTCATGGGCTATGACAAGCAAGTGAAGGAGCCCACTATGGTCACCAAGTAAATACCTGGAACCATCCGCATCCACCCTTCCATAGGCTCTAGTAATAGACTACAAGTTCATATGACATACATATCATCAATCAAGAATAAGTATTTAGAAAATGTAGTGTGAAGTGAGAAATGGTGAAACTAGAAATACACAAATATAAAAAAATATTTAAAAAAAAGGAATCGAAGGTTCATTGGCAAAGACAACTTATAAATTGTTAAGCATAAATCTAAGTGGGGGACAAGTCTTTTTGTTTTATGTGTGCAGTGAATCATTATTTTTCTTTCTTTTTTTCCTTTTTGGGGGTTTTGGAGGGGGGAATAAGAAGATACATCATAAGGATCAAATACAAGGTGCTTATGGATACATTGGATAAAGTCGAAGAAGCTCCACTGACTTACAGGTCTAATTGGTATTGCTTTAAATGCAGAGGCGCTACAGTACACAATCGTCTCCTCTCCAATGATTAACACACCACAAAATGGCGGTGGAACTGGTATTAGCAAATCAGCCCCATTATCAAGATTGTTCTGAGACCAAGGACCTTCAACAAAGTCTTTATCCTTTAAAGAAACCTCGTAAGTTTTTACATGGCGAGCATCCTTATTATCCTGAAACCAAGAAAGCAACAAGGAAGCATAAGTACACATTTGATGTTTCATTCTTGAAAATGATTTTTAATTCTCTTTGAATAACAGAGTTGGTCACTGCAAATTTGGAAGCTTCATACTTGATACAATACTAAAAGATAAGCCTTTGATAATATCCACGATTAGCATTACCTCAGAATCTAGAATGTGCAGATCACATGGCTTCCGTAATTTATAACACAAAAACAAACCTTTTAAGGATGTAAACGTAACTTTATAGCCTAAATACACAACTAGTAAAGATGATGATGTTGATGGGAAGGAAAAAAAAATTTAAGTGCTAGAATTTTTTTCAAAAGGGTGTACATCTGACACTTCTAATATTCTTTTTCTTTTCCATCATTAACGCAACAATAATAAACTTCCCAGAAAGTTAATTGTGAAAAAATAGAAATTCCTGTGGAACTGATTGCAAGTTATAGAAACCTTGTAAAGAACCCAACCTGATAAAGAACAACTATTGTAGGCTTTGGACAACCATACAGAAATTTGATATCCAAAACTTGAAGCTCTTCTAGCCTGAAAACAACTCAACATGCATACACAAGGACAACAAGAAGTCAGTAGCTACCAATGCCAAGTATAACTTCCCTTTGTCCCAAGAAATTGCAATAATTGATTCTACAAGCATCTTAAACAAAGTATGCTGACTATCATGACATACTGCTTAAGTGTTTAAATTATCTTCTTTCATTGAAACTAAAGTAATTGTGTGCGTTCACAATCACTAGCCTAAGACTTCAGCAATGATGATTTGGATGAAACTAAGGCTTATTGATAATTTTTGTCTAAGAAATACATGGCATTTAATACGATTATCCCCAAAAGAAAAGTATTCTAGTTCTAATAAGATAGTGTATATCAATATAGAAATAGAGAATGTGCAGGAAAAGTATTCTAGTTCTAATAAGATAGTGTATATCAATATAGAAATAGAGAATGTGCAGGACTTTTGAGGACGTTAATGAACAAATGAGAGAAGAGAAACATATGACGAGGGAATTCAAATCCCAGCATATATTTAGATAAGTGACTATGTCCTTATCAGAAAAATAGAGTATCTAACTTCTATAACAACTATATAGCTCTCCATTACATATTTATTTGCGAAACAAGGAAATTTGCTTTTTAGAAACAAAGAACATGCTTAAGTAAAAGAAACAAAACCGAATCTCATTTACTGAGAATTGGTGCTCTCTCCTTCCTTCCCACATTGTTTGTCATTTTCTCCATTCCAATACACAATTGGGTCTGATATTCACAAAAATAATAATCAATTATGTTGTCTTAAACTTGGTGACAGTGTTGATTGTCACAATGTTATCAAGGGGAGATGAGGAAGGAGAGATTTTACACCACTTCTAACCATGCATCTGTAATCTAAATAAATGATTGCTTTTATAGCTCAAACATCAACACTTAGGACAAATGTTGAGGAACCTGAAGGCTCTCAATTCAAGCCTCATCTGCAGGTAGCTAATTTTTAAATGGCCTCATAAGTGTTGAACTGTGTATCAAATGTAATCATAGCAGAAGTAACCAAATGTTTAATCTGTTTACAAGGCCAAATTTTAGATCACCACATACCTAAAAATATAACTTGTTTTTAAGACCCTACCAAAGGTGCACTCTATACTGAGATACAAGTGTAATGTGAGTGTCTAAAAGCAAGGGAATTCCACTACAGGGACATCTCAACAATCAATCTCATCGGTGTAATTATCCAAGAACATTAAGCGCCTGCAAGTAACACATACCTGATGTTGAATGCTTCTTTGAGTTGTCCTTTGTTATCAAATGGAATGACCTGAAGAAAAAGAACGGTGTGGGTATTACAGTGGCATAAGGATACTAAAAAGTGAAGTGGGACTTGAAAGCAAAATAATGTCGAAAGTTGATATGAAATACATGGAAGATGGAAGAAGTATATCAGGAGCAACTACCTTGAATAATCCATCATACAGATGGAGCCCAATAAGTCTGCAGTCTGGGTCAATTATGCCAATCTACAAGGATCAAAACAGGTGGGAAGGAAGATATGACGTTAAAAGATAGATAGTAGGCTCTTGCTTGTAATATTGATGCTAAGATGAGCTTGACGCAATCATATATTACTTTTCAAGCAACTTGATATGTACCTGGCCATTGTCGGTAGGTCTGCCTATGCGATCTGAGACGTCACCCATTGCTCTACACAGTTCAGGAGCACATTTTTAAAAACAATCCAGTAATAATCAGATGTCAATATTATCAGATTACAAGATCCCATTAAGCACATCCATTTACTGAAAAATCTAATATAGGACTACAGAAACAATGAACCTTGTTTCATTTTAAGGTCGGTGGCCATTATGCAACCTTGTTTCTATAGTTACAAGTATTGATAGTTTCACAGGCCTTATTTAGAGAGGTGACTTATTTTCCGACTTAACCGTACAACCAGAGCACTTACTTTTTCACTAACAATTATATTATGTGAAATTTAATACGTGTAAGGTTTATTAAACTCACTATTTTCCGTAAGTGGTATAGCATACATACCAATAAACTTAGCTAGGCTGTAGGCCTTTAGCCAATAATTGAGTTCTATAAACCGAACAAAAAATGTGGCCATGTGTGAAATGCCTGAGATGGATTATAAAGTCCATTGAATAACTGCCTCTTATCAAGAACTATGATCAGAAATGAATTGTATCATATTCATTATAATGGGTGTACTTACATTGTTAACAAATTTACAGAAGTCACAGAGAAGTCATATAAAGCAAGATTACATCTAGTTATATTATAATATAAATGAGATACGTATAACAAATTGATTCTCCCTGCAATTTTAGGGGCCTATAATTACTTATTTGTAAAAAATAATATAAGGGTAGATTGCACTCTAGGTCGTGTGAAAATGCAAGAGACAACAATGGTTTCTAAAAAGAACCAGTTCTATTTCAGTCCTATCAATCCATTTCAATCACCTATTGAGCTATCTTAACCCCCTTCAATCAATTATAAGCAACATCTTAATCATTTGGAACAGTGATGTAATAATAACAAGCCTAGACACGATCCCGGCCTTTAACCTAGTGGGTAAGGAAAAGAGCTTGGCATCCTTGCACAACGGGTGTGAAGTTTTGAGGTTCGACCCGCGCACCACCCACCTACCCCCTAGGATAGTTGATTTACCTCCCCCATGATGGTCGAAGACCGGTGGGGGCACTCCAGACAGTGGTGTCCATACCTTTTATGCAGAATGACAATCTTGCCAATTGCATAAAGGGTAAAATAAGCAATAGTGATGGCTAAAACAAGTTCAGGAATTTTCTTGACAATCTCCTCCTAAAGAAGCAATAGTGATGGTTAAGCTTTGCATCTAATGGGATTGAGAAAAGGTGGTTAAATCAGATCCAATTTGTTTCGAGGATTAATGCAACTTCAGAAAAAATAAAAAAAATGAGTCCCCCTACAAGCGATAGCCTCGTCACTCTGTTTCATTTACTTTAGTTTTTTTGCAACTTACACTCGAGTCAAATTTTGCTTAGACCAACCCATGGATATGCCTTCCTTTCTTGGTCCAAGCCACCCTAGCATTGGCCAAATGAAGGTACATGTCAGAAGAAAGAGGGGGCATCTTTCTTACAACTCAATTGTTCTTTCATTCATGCAAGATATAAATTGTATGAAGCTTCAACAAAGTTACATAGAGATACAAGGTATATATGTTGAAATTGTTCCCATCACTTGAGGTCCGGAAAGTTTTTCACTTGTACACACCCAATTTACCACATTACTACAGCAATGTGTTATTTTCCTCACAAGCGACAATCTCATAATCCTTGATCTTTCAATCCTTCACTGCCACACAATATTATCTTTATAATCCAGTCAACACGATCTTGCAAAGCCAGATGAAAATAACATGGAGAAGATAAAATATAGGCAGACCTTTCTGTTTATGGAAAGAAATATGCTAATGGTTCAACAGCAACATGTTGCATGTAGGTTGAACAAAAAATGCAATAAGATGATAAAGTAAACCCGCGTGTTGAGAAGAGACCGGAGCATTTGAACTTTCAAGTTTCAACAGCTAATGTTTATTTGCTATAGTGATCAACAGCAACATATGGCATGTAGTTGAAGAGCCATATATTTATCCAACATATGGCACAATCCCATCAGTGTTGGATCCTTGAATTCGCTTGACGTTCTGTTGATGTTCGAGACCTATATGCTAATGCTCTAAACCACACTCACTATCTACCTAAAATCATCTCAGATGAGTAAAGGAACATAGAAAGTACACAAGTTCTACATACGAAAACATTTTCATATATACTTATAAACTAGATGCAGCAAGAAATGATTCATTACAAATCCATTGGTAAACAAAAGAATATGATTATGCCGTTGAACACATATTTTAGCTTCCATGTAAAATCGAACCTTGTAATAACCTCATTCGCATCAGCATCCCACTGAAGAACACAAAACTTGTATCTTTCTGTTGCAATAAATAGAAGGTCTTGTGTTTCACCCTTCAATAGAAGAAAAAGATACACCAACATCACAATGTGAATGTTGCAACAAATACATCACAACTTCTTTCTTAAAAGACTACAAATTAATCATTTACTCACATGAGGACGAAAAAGTTCCAAGGTTGCAATTCTTCCGTATATTGGCACATCCAACATAGGCTGCATAAAAACAAATATACAATTAAATTGTAGTTGCAAAATAACCAAAGCAAGAGACAGTCTTAAAGTATCAAAATTCAAATACTCACAATGAAAACAGTGCACCTCAAACCACAAAAAGGTAATTATTATTCATAATTTAAAATTAAAATCAGAAGTAAGAGAATTAGGACATGTCTCTTGTATTGTTCAGAGCATCCTAATCTTTACTTCACTGGATAAATCCATTAAATAAATCCTAAAAGGAAAAAATCTGCACTAAATCTTATATTTTAGTGGATTGAACACTTTCACCGCACTTTCTACTCTCTCACAGCACAAGGTAAAAGGCAAATACAAAAGCCACACCTTTTGTGCACATCGGTATCACGCCAACATTTTGAAAATGGTGGGAATGCAAGGCAGTGATCAAGAGAAAGATACACTTTTGATGACCCCACTTGACGAAAGGTAAAAGCCATAACCAAAAGTTTTCTTTATTCATGCTGCAAGTCAACGACATGATTATTATTGGTAAGGATACAACTATGGTGACTATCAGCAGATTGCTATATTAACTTTAACTTCTGGACTACCACGTTCATCCCAAGCTTCTATTAAAATCTTCAGAACTATAAATCTCCAAGTCTTTGTTTTCCATTGATTCAAAAGAAGATGCGCCAACTTCAGATAAATGTCCCATATCTAATTAATTATTCATATAACATTTGATACTGTAAATTCTAGAGAGAAAAAAAATGATCCATCAATTTAGAACATTATCCACCCCAAGAACATAGTTTTGACTTCTGAGTTCTATTTATAAATATCACACTGGTTTCAACTTCGGCAGGTTCTATGGATTTACTAATTGCGGCCTCAAAATCTGCATCTATCTAAAATCAAGGCATAAGATCTTGACCAAAATCCAATTATCATGGTTCATGACTAGCATTTGCATGTAATGCATTATAACCTCTAAGATTTTGTAATAACAGTAGATTAATGACCTACATAATACATTGATGTTGCACATTTGCACGTCCATTCGTAATTAAATGTGAACTACCTATTTACTTAACCGGCCCAGTGGGAGTGTATGAAGTTGTCAATCATAAGCCATCAACTTATCAAAACAGATACCAAAGGGCCTTTGGCCTAGCGCTATGTGAGTCCTTAGCCTCCTAGGAGGTCAAGGGTTCAAACGTCACCAAAAGTGAGGAGGGTGTGTGAGTTTATTTTTCTATTTGTCATATATAAATATTGTATACTTCAAAAAGAAACTCATCAAAACAGATACTATGAAGGGCAATGGCATAAAACTTGGCATCTTTTTATGTCATTTCTAAGTAACACCATGCAATTAAAGTGCAATCATAAGCAGCTTAGTTGTCTTGATAATTAAAACCAAGTGAAGCAACATGCATATGTCTAGAGATCAGGGTTCTATCACCCTCAAAGAAAGAAGACAATTGATATTCTGTGATTTGAAGAACCCACTTAAAAAGTACTTACAAAAATGCAAAAAGAGTGCCAAATCGAAAAAGAAGGATTCCTTACAGAGAAAAAATGAGGGATATATATGCATGTGTGTATAATGCAGTTATATTAATTGCATACAGAAAAAAAAAATAGCATTACTTTCTAGCAAATCATCAAAAGCTTCTTGAGACTGAAGCAGATCATGATTTTGCTTAACTGACTAGTCCAACTCCTTTGAGGGTAAAAGCATCAATCCTTTTATCTGCTTGCTACTTAACTAAAAGAAGGGTATTCTTGAAGGTCTTCAATTTCAACCTCCCCCAACTAGTTCTGGCTAAAAATGTGTTGTTTTTACTTTAGTGATCTATCATTTCTATATGTAATCTTTGGCATCTCTAAGCTGATTCAAACAACCAGAATCAGACACCATAAAAAACATGTGTCAAGCATACCTCCAAAAACTCGAAACTCGTATCACCTATCGTTGAGCAAATCCTACAGGTCATCAGTCCTGCCCATATCCTTTTCGCTTTTGCAAAATAAAATAAAAAGATGATCTAAACACGTGTATGCCCCAGCAGAATTGATTCAGAAGACCTTAGATGAAGTGTAAATAACTAAAATACTGGTAAACATGTGAAAGTTTGTAAATCAAAAAGTATTTCTCATATACATTTCATTGGAAGAAGAGGAGCCATTGATGGGTTTAGTCAGTCTAACCTGGTATCAAAGGTAATAAGAGAATTGTTGGTTTTATTTATTCACCTATTACTTTCTAATGATCATAGTGTCCTAATTGCCTGGCCAACGTTAATTAAAAGAATATAGAATCTTTGTCATATGTAGAGAATGAGTTGACTATACAGATGATCTGATGATGTCATAACTAAGTTGTACATGGACAATCATGTAAGAAAGTTAGTCAATGAGTTCACACAAGACGTAAAAAATCAAGTAAAAATGATAACTTATATCTTTCTCATTCCAACTACCATGTCTATTTATTCGATGAAAACAATTCTACATTTCGGCCTCAGTATTCCTTAATTCTCTTTTTTTTACAAGATTAAGGATATTGTATTATGTTCTTTTACCATTAATAGGTTTCTCCTTCTAATTTGATTTGCATCACTCATGTGTCATCCTCTTATCATAGCTTGAACAGGATTCATTATTAACTCCAACTAACCAGATGGAGAGACATTTAGTCAAATTGGGATTGGAATAAAATTCGAAGTTGTATACTAGCTAAAAAGTGCACATGCAAACAGTTTAGTTAATTTAGAAAGCCTTGAAGCAAGATGTAGCATCAATGTAAATGGTGTGCTTATTTTTAGAAATGAGACGTATCATATATGCATTACGCTGATCACCATCTCCAAGTTATTTATAACCATAAATCATGATCTTTGGGAGGGTAAAGTTTACCCTTGCTAGCTTAAAACAACTAGCAAGCTTTTTCCAGTTATAGAAGGGGTAGAGTTTCCACAACAAAATCTTAGGTTCAAATCCAGCCCCACCCACCCTACCCTAGGGCACGGCAATTTACCTACCTCATGATGGCCGTAATGTAAGGGTTCAAATCTTGCCAAACAAAACCAACAATGATCCTGTAGCTCCAAAAATGCAAATACAAGCTCAATCACAAACAACAAATGCACAATAACTCAGCTACAACAACTATATGGCTATCCAAGCATAATTTACCAACCAAAAGCTAAATCCAAGGCAATATAACCACAAACACGCTAAAGTAGTAAAGCAAGTAACAAGGCACGAGATTTGACGTGATTCCACTACCGTCGGGTAGTACACATCCACCAGGAGAGAGATATCACTTGTATTAATAGACCAAATGAAGTATAAAGCAACTTACAATAGAGATCGATCACCCAAAAGCTAGTAGAAAGCCAAATGGCATAAGCTCTCCTCTCTTTTCTCTATCTCGAAAAAACACAAAGTGCTCTTTTCTAAAAACTTGATCAAAACTGAAATATAAGGCTTTTATATGACAAATGTGAACAAGGGGGGCCCAGGACCATAAGGGGTGAAAAACCCCAAAATGTGCCAAATAATTCGTCCAAAACAAGGCCCATGCAGGTCTATGCGACCTGTGCACGCGATAGTGGCCAGGTCGCGTACACAATGCCACAATCCCGAGAATTGTACCACAGGTGGCCTACATGATCCAGGTGTCATGCAATAGTCAGATCACGTAAATGGGGTGGCCAGATCGTGTAGGGGTCATGCCCTGTTCCTGTTCCTCTTTTGTGCAGCAATGAAAATCAACAGATTAGTATGATGGGGGCACTCTTGAGTGTGGCGCAAACCCTTTTTCCACGACAATTACAAGATTTTGTCTCTAACTGGTAGAAACCCAATAGAAAAGACCAAAAAGTGAGCTTCCAGGATAATTGACCTTTGCTTGCTCGATTATTCGTTAAATCAGTGCATCATTACCTAGAATCTATTGCGGAAACCATTTCAAGTCTTATCAATTGGTGTAGAGAATCCAACTATTGCCTAAAGGTATTTTACTCATACAGGTTAATCAAAGGGCAAAGTTGTGCAACTAGACATACACCCATGTAATTTGAACCAAAAAACATACAGAATCCCTGTCAAAACAAATGGAAACTATTGAATGTATAAGAATCAGATATCTAAATATCACTTGAGCACAAACCCACCTGCAAACCTTGAGGAGTAAGTAAATGAATCTCAATACGGGTACATTTCCTGAAAATTGCACAGTGCACAAAAATGAGTCACAAGATGATGCAATTCATGTATCTTTTTTGCTTTGGAGAATAAATTGCAAAAATTACAGGAAAAAAAAAGGCTACAAGTAAACTGCAAAAGTCTGTGACATCAATTAAAAGAACTGCACAAAATGGCAGGCAGAAAAGCATATTTCACACGGCAATGGATTTGCAGCCTACCCTCTGAATTGCCAAAAAGAGGATAAACTTTGGAATTCTAGGTCAACCCTGGTATTGATCAAATGCAAAAAAAGAAACGAGACATATAAACTTTACTTCAAATTTAACAACAGGCTTTCTACCCACCATGTCAAATGTCATATTCTGGGTATTTTAAGCTTCATATATTTTAAAGCAACTAGAGTCTAGAGATTTTGATAGAAACTCATAAGCACCTGGAGATGCCTCTAGAATCCCTAACAGAAAACCTAGCTAAGGTAATAATATACTCACCATCTCCTAGACTAACCGAGCCTTCTACGCTTCTAGCATGAGCCCTTTAGCATCCGGTTGGGTCAACTAAAAGAAGCCTTTCGTTTTCTCTACCTCTTGGTCGGTATTTACATTGTTTTCTTGTGAGATCTTTAACAGAAAAATCAAGAACACTTCTACCCTCTTTCAGGAATTCATTTCCCCCAAAATCATCAAAATTTTCACACATAATCGCTCAATTTTCTGCATCCAATTCATGAAACTCAAATATTTTTTATATGTTCGTAAAACAATACAAATTTCAATGAAATATAGAAACTAAAAATCCAAAAACACAAGGATGAAACTTACGCTATAATAAGATTCAGTTCTTGTGGACCAGTGAAATTGCCGACGCATGAATGAGTGACATTCGTTGGTTTATGAGCCGTAACAACGTAATTATATGTACTCATCGCTCTTCCAGCGTGTGTATGTGTGTGTGTATATATATATATATATTAGACGACTGAAGATCTCCACTGAAATGGAACCCTAAAACCCTTTCTTCCTCTTCCTTCTTCTTCCTCCTCGACTTTTGTAAGCCACTACCAATGGTACCCGAGACTACTTATTTTGCCGATGGAATGGATAGTTTATACGACACCGTTTTTGTCCTTAGGGGTCCCAAGGCCCAATTTTCTTCCCTTCCCGATCCAACCGATGATTTTTTAGAAGGGTTGTTTCTTTTCTTAAAGGTTTTATTAAGAGATCTGTCTGAATGGTTACGAAGTAAATTTTATTTAATAAAAAAATTATCTTTTAATAATTCTAAAATCTTTTAAATAATTTTGTATCATAGTCATTTCTTAATCATTTAACATCTTAATTCTATTGTAAACAATTATCAAATAATTATATTTTATTTTGTATTATATTATAAGAAATATTTAATTATTCTGAACCAAACATTCAATAACTGTAAAACAGTCCATAACAGTCCATAAATCTCGTATTTCTTTTATTAAAATGGTTATGTTTTAAAATAAAAAAGATAAACTATAAAGTAAAAAAGTTGTTGTAATTATATTGATTATTAATATATATATATATATAATTAGTTATTTAAAACTTTTTCAGATAAATAATATTTATATTTAACAATTTATTTATCCTCTTCTATCTTTAGTGAGATTTTCGATAATCCAGATATCATTAGAGTAAAGGATTTATTGTTAATTATCTAAAAACCTGTAGTTTTATGATTTTTAAACGTTATAATATTCACATAAAACACACATTTAGACATCTCATCCGTAAGCCTTTAGAGGTAGTTGAAGCGGCAAGAAACAGAGTGTGAGTCGAGTACGCATTATACTGTATACTTTGCTTGTTGGTCTTTTGAAAATAAAAAAGGATTGTCTGGTTTAAACATATAATACGATAGAACCATTTATTGAAAACAAAAATGTTGATGTTGTAACCCAAAAACAGGTTAGTGTTTTTTGGTTTAAAAAGGTACAAGATTTAACTTGATGTATATTTTTGTTAATGACTTCATAAATAAAATGACATGTTAATGATACAAAAATATGTAACCAAAATCAAAGTTATTGATCTCACATGATATAAAAACCGACAAAAATTAACAAATTCATTGAATAAATCAATCTTCAGCTTTGTGATGGTAACTCTTGATACAAATAAAATATGCAACACAATAATTTTTATATGAATGTTTTTTTTTTTTTTTTTGCATAACAAAATGTTCCTCAAGTTTTAGAAAATTTGTGCATAACATGCCTTTGTAAAATGGCAATAAAAATACCTTGATCAAAGATAATTCTCCTAGGTCGAGTGTGTTATGTCACTCATCAAAGAGAAGACATGTTTTATTTGATAATATGGAAGAATTTAACATTTTATTAACTTTTTCGATAATTATTTTTTGTTTACAACATTATAGTATGCTTTTTTACGTTCATGAGATTATATTGTCATAAGGCGTCTTGTGGTACGATGCAGTGTGTGCGCTTTATGGGATTTAACTGTTTTGATGAACACACTTATTAATACGGGTTTAACTGTTTTGATGAACGCTCTTATTAATACAGTCTCTTAATTGAATCAATATATAGCTTTTGAAAATATGTTCCCGAATATAGATGGAAACAAGCTACATTTCATTTTAATTGAATTTGCCCAAAAAGATATAAACATGAAATGTTGTAGGAATTACAATTAAGGGGCTCTACCTCAACCAAACAATTAAATGGATTGTTCCACATGTATGTTGCATCATTACTTTTCTTTGTCATTTTTTTTGACATAATTATGATTAAATTCTATAATTAAGTTTTATGCTCAATAAAAGCAAAATAAGGGTAAAAAAGACTCAATTTGTACTTGGGAAAATAAAAATAAGATACAATAAAATCTTAAATACATGTTAAAAGTGGATGTGTTTTTACATTTATTAGGTTGTTTGAATGTATATTTTGAATGTGACTATCTAATTATTGCGACTTTCAATTCGTAATAAATTGGTGTTTGTTGCTTACATAACATGCTTCTACTAATGAATACCTTGTTAGTAATAAGTTAAATAATCAGTTTTATATAAGTAACAACAAAATTGATTATCAAATGAAAATAAGAGTAAATTATAGATCCTTATTTTATCAATATTTGCTTCAGTGATCATAAACTGTCAACACGATCAAAAGTAGTCGTTACTACAACTTCATGCAGTATAAGCACAACCAACCATTGCATATCATCATGTTTGATTCAAATAATATAGAGAACTCATGTACCAGTAGATTTGATGATATCACTGTAAGTAAGTTAAGTTGGATTATTTCGGGGAGTTTATTGTGATGTTTAATGCAAGACTTACTCTACCTTGAATTGTTTTTCCCCTTAGTTTAAGTTTTTGTATTAGAAGACAAATAAATGAGAGGATCTGGATGGTTGATGGGTTGGTCGGTCATGATTGGTCGATATACAAGCGTTAGTGGCCTTTACAAAAAAAAGAAAAAAAAAAGAGTTGAACTCCATAACAAAACATGCATAATTGGAAGGAGAAAGCAATTACGACAATGTTATTAACATGATAATTTGTTTATGAAGAAAAGTCTAGATGGCTCCAATGTTCTTAAGCCCCAAAACAACACCAACACCAATAATGTGACCAACGGTTCCACAAGCCAATGTATCTGCAAGAGTGAAGCCAGCAGGGTCACCTGTTTGAAGTCCCGAATCCCTTACCTCAAGCTTTAGTCCTGCAGTAGCCTTCCTGTTTGCTGATGGTGCCAATCCAAATCGACCAGCAAACAACATCAAAGTTGTCGAAGTCACCATTATCTATCCAAACAAAACATCAAAATTCTCGTTTCATTTACATGTTTGTTTTTAAAAGCAGATTGTATACTTCAATAAATACAAGTGCAAGTAATTTACCAAATTTGTGGACGAGCCAATGAAATCACAACGAACGCCTAGAGCTCCATTTCCCTTTCCCTTTCCCTTTCCCTTGGGCTTCATTGGTTGAAATGACACCTGAAATGGGGGAACGATCTTAGGTTTGCTCCATCAACATTCGACTTTTGATTTGACTCTATAAATAATATATACTTTTAAAAAAAAATATTTAACGTTTATTAATGAGTAAATATGTAATTTTCGATTAAAATATCTTTCAAAATGCAAATATTAGGACTAGAAAATCCATAAAAATACAGTGACGATTTGATTGCTTTTGTGAATGCCCTTATACTACTCACATTATTAAATTACTTATTTGACCATTTACATTTTATTTGTTGACTTTTAGACATAATATTATATTTACAAAGATAGACGATTAAATTAATATATGATAATAAATAGGACATGTAATTAGTAAATGATAATACCGATAAATATGAGACATAGTTTATTGACTTTTTCGGCATCGTGGTTGACTATTTGTTAAAAGAAAACGTAAATATGAATAACCATTGCAATCGAGAGTTTATATCAAATCTGTTCACTATCAGAAGCATTTGGCAAAAATATCGACTAATTTCTAACATAAAGCAAACACCACCAATTCTTATTAATGAACACTACATTATGCAGTAACAACGAATTTTGACACATTATGAGGACGTATATATAAAAAAGATCATCGTAGTTGACATTTTTTTTTTTTGCCAAAACCCAGTCATAATCTACAACACTTATATAAAAACATCGACTAATTTTCTAACGAGAAAACAAACATAAACCCAATCTAACTTATCCTAAAAAATATTACAATGTGCATTAACAATAGTTTTTGACGAATTATGATTATGTAAATCTGAAAAAAACCATTGTAATCGACAGTTTACGTCAAAGCCACTCACTATGTAAAGCACTTCCACGATAAGGTCGCCTAAATTCTAACCAAAAAACAAACGCAACGCCAAGTTCTTGTAAACAAATATTAAAAGCCGCATTAACAATAGTTTTTTTTACAGATTATGAAATACGCAAATGTGAAAAAAACCATCATAATTGATAATTTTCATCAACTACTATCTAAAGCACTTTTGCATGACATCGATCAATTTCTAACCAAAAAACAAAAACAACGTCAAAGTTCTTGTTAATAAACTCTTCGTTTTACGATAACAACTTCTTTTAACAAATAAAAAATCGTAAATGCAGTTTTCGTCAAACATGCTCACTATCTAAAGCACTTCCACAACAATATCGACTAATTTCTAACCAAAAAACAAACAAAACGCCAACTTCTTTTGTCAATGAACACTACAGTGTATATAGTAACAATGGTTTTTATCATGTAACGGAATACGTAAAATAACAGATAATGAAAAACGTAACTATGAAAAAAAAACCAATTATTTTCAACCGTCTTTTATTAAATTCATTTACTTCTGTAAAATATCGACTAATTTCTAAAGAAAAACAAACATCAATGATTCAGAATCAAATTGGAACTAACCGTGGATTGAATTGGGGAAGTTGATGAAGAAGAAGGCCTTAAACCAGTGAATCGAGGGAGAGAAGCCATCACAGCAGTTGCCATTTTCGATAACTCAAAGAAAAAAATTGAGTTTGAAAAATGGAGATTTTGAAGTATTTTAAAGATTCAGAAGCTTGGTTTGTGGCTATGGAAGATTGAAGTGGGATAATATATCATCCTTGTTGCTTACGTGGCATTTTATGGTTGGTCAACTCTAATACCCTATAGATTTTTGCCCAAAGTATAAATATTTATTTTAGAGTTATTGTCTTTTTATGCTTTTTAAATTATTTAACATATATCATTAGTAACATGGACAATGAATTATCTTGTTAAGGTTGATATATAAGTTTTTATACAATTTTTGGGTAGACTTAAGATTTGTGTATATGCTATTTTTCGTATTCTATTTTTGAGTGAGATATATTAAGGGGATGTTTGGTTTTTTTTTTGTTAAAACTTATATGAATAAAATTATATGTATTGATAAAGTTATATGTATGTTAATCTATAAGAAGTTGTTTTGCTGAATAAACAGTCTAAATGTCAGAAATGACCATTTTACTCGCAATCTTTATTTTTGTCCGAATAAAACAACTATTTTTAATGAATGGAGTTTTGCTTTTGATCCAAAACAACCTGCTCCATTTTCATTGATTTTAAATCCCATCAAAATCTTGATGAAATGCTCACATTTTTACTTTGAAGTATATCTATAATCTATACTATATTATAAAATACTAGTTGTGTATCCGCGCAATACGGCGAGATGTGAAATTTGAATAAATGTAATCGAGCATACCAATTACGAATGAACATTTATATTTGAAATTGTCACACACTAATATCATTGATTGTCGTCAAAAGTTAAGTTAAACGGGAAATTGTTTTCTTTTTTCAGTTTGAGACTTTGGATGACATAATTTTAGGACGAATATAAAGTTGATCAACTAAATCAATTAGTTTTGCTTAATCTAATAATTTAAATCTCAATTTTCATACATTAAAATATTAAGTGTTTTGTTTGGTCTCGTAATTTATAAGTGCCTCGGTAATCGCAACGTCACCAGGTAAGATAAGTGCCTCGGTAATCGCTTGGTAAACAGCTCCCCAAATCTAAAACAACACCTTCCATTTTTACTCTTTGATTTAGGTGTCAAAGGCTATTAATCTTAAATGGGAGTTTTGTAATAGAAGCACCACCTTATTGACTACAGGATGATGTTGCTCAGTTGTTGCATGTAACTGTTTTCTAGCACCACCTTGGGAAGTAAGCTAAATCAAGAACACAAACATTTGGATCGAAATTCCAATTGCATGTTAGAACTCACTTGAGAATGAATTGAAGTTTATGTTGGAGGTGGTCGAGCATCAACAACAACAACCAAGTACATGAGGTTCTTTTGGAAAATGGCTTGCATATATTATTAAGTTTAGGCAAGACAACAACATAAGAAAATGTCAACATGAAAAGGACAGTTTCAAATGGTTTGTCAAATAAAAATGAGATATGATTTGTATGTCGCTCCATATATCAAAACCATTGAATGCTTTCTCTAAGTATGTAATACAAGAATTTCAGAAGATGCTAAAATGTTTCATTATAACAATAGAGTAAATGTATGAATGTTTTTTATAATTATATGAAGGCAATGAAGGAAAATTTAATTTTTACCAAGAGAAGGAAGAAAAGAATGAAAATTGTCATTCCTTCCAGGTTTGGCTGTCATTCATTACGAGCTACAGAAATCAAGTTTTTTAGCTCACTCAAATGCTCATCAATTATATATGGAGCAACATACGAAGATTAGTTACCATTGTTTCTTTTTCCCAACTTAAGGGTCCGGATGCATGTAATGCCTCTATAGTGCAACGATAGGCATGCAACTCTAGTATATGGATTTCATCAGCAATGCTAAGTTGGTGGGAGATTGATCAATCTCTTCTTGATATCCTAGTTCACAAACAGACTCTGCATCACTATCATGACCTTCAATTCTTCAACAGGACCTGATCCAGAATAGCTATTAATCTACAACTACCACTGGAAGTCATGACACTCTCAGCATCATTAAGTTATAATGTTAAAGAACGCAAAGAAAAAGCAAACGCCAAAATATAAAGAAAAAACAAATGCCAAAATGTAGGTTTTCTTCTATATGCTTTATGCAATAATATAGATGCCTATGAATAGTAACATATACAATCGGTAGGCAAACCGTAAAAATTACCAACATCATTCAATAAATACATGTAAATACAGAATTCTTAGTATTCAAACGTCACAAATTCGTTGAAAAGTGAAAACATTCAAAAGGAAAACCTAAAAATCTATCTGAAACAAAAGTGAAGTAACAACAGTAACATGGTCATCAACTGAACACTGAATGGGACTTTTGGTTAGCAAAAGATGAAAGCATGCTTGTCTAGAAAACTCAATATGTTGATTTGAGCATCAGATGAGAGCATGAAACAGTAAGGAAAAACAAACACAAAGACATAATCAGTAAGAAAGATGAAAGCATGAAATTTTGACCCAAAACAACCGTAATTGGTTTTTGAAGTTGAAAAAAAAAAACACGGGCACCTGTAAAAAATATTACACGGAATATAAGCCCCTGTTAAATCCTACCTTTGAATGAATCACCCGATATGAACACATAAAGAAGAGACGAGAGAAACCTCAATTACGAGTTGATAGATAAAGGAGAGAAAACTCAACTACAGTCCACAAGTTTTTGTAAAGTATAAACATGTTTTTGTAAAATAAAACATTTAGTCGGTTTCATCTCACGTAGAGTGTGAGAATTGGTAGGAAAAAATGGTGTTTCGGCGGATAACATTTTTGACAGAATTCTGGCGAATATTTCCACCGATAATAATAAAGATACTTTTTACTTACCATCCCCTAACTCACACATTAAAAACAAAATCTAAGGAGGATGCATGTTGATTCACAAGTTCAACAGGTTGATTATGATGTCTTGGTTTGATCAATTCAGATTACATGGATGGTGAAACATAGTAATGGAGGCAACTAATAGTACATGTTGTTAGACCCCATAAATATTATGCATGAAGTAATGAAGACAAACAAGTGATGAAGAACCAGAAGGCCGATGGAAGACTTCAAGGAAAAATGACTAAGTCTAAAGAACAACCAGAGGGTCGATGAACTGACCAGAGATGCGATGGAAAGAGCATCTTCATAGCCCCTCTGGATACTAACACTTGAAGTTTCCCTCACCAGTTCTATCAGAGGCAAACAATGAAGATATGAAGATAAGGTTGAACGCATAAATCATGGAAGACAGCTGGAGATAATTATTAAACAGCTGGATAATACAAAGTTTATCTCGTTTTAATGTTTATCCTTATTATAGATAAGCTTTATCTGTTCGTAGAAGATTAGCTAAATAGTCTCAGCTAGACATTTATCTTCTAATTAGCCTACTAGTATAAATAAGTGATTAGGCTTATTGTAAACTATGACACTTTTACATTTTTACATTATTATTGAATAAAGTGAAATCATTGGCACTCAAGATTATTTCTTGAATGTTCATACATTGTTCTTGAGTGTTCATCATTTTGTTCTTTAAAACACTATAATTTGGTTATTCTTAACTTGGTTATTAGTGTTATTGAGAGATATGAGATCAACAATTGGTATCAGAGCCAAATCGATTAACTTCTATTGATTCGATCTTTCTGCAGTAGATTCAATTTTTCTTGAAATATACTCATTCATGAACATTTTATTGTTCGACTGCTGTTTGGACCTAGAACTCATCGATTCATCATATGCTTAATGTTTTAATCAAAATCCTTTTAAGGGATTTGTTCTTGGATGAATACGAACCTTCTTTGTTCGTCAAAATTTGGTTTATTTGATAAGTTTCTTGGAGTCAGTCAAACTTTTGAACTTTGATTTTGTCAGATCTATGCGTAGGCGTTAAACACGAGTTCATGGTACTCACAGCCTAAGGCAATTGGCGTTCTATCTGCCAAACGTATAATTATCGCCCATATCTTGAGTATTCATTCATCGTCTCTTTTTGTGGATTTGGATCTGTAAGAGCCTAAAGATTTACTTGCCTGTAATAAATCATATATGAATATGGCAATATTTCTTCATGTTTTGCCCTTAGAAGCATTAACAACAATACTGTCAATTTTCTTTGAATTGACCTACTGCTTCTTGAAGCCATAAAGCTTAATATTAATTCTTTTCTCCAGTTCTCAATTCCAATGGTGTTTGCTTTGGTTATTCAAGTTATCTCCAATTGAATCAAGCTCTAAAGCTGAATTCCTACTCAACTTGAGGTTCAATGAAAGATTATTTGTCATAAGACTGGTTGCACTGTTTTGTCAAGAAATTCACACATTTATCTATCCCTTAGTTGGATGAATTTGCTACTTTTAGGGTTGAGTGGCTATTTTGTGCTTCAAAGTATGTGCTGGGTTGTAGGCAGATTAAAGCTGCATTCTGTGCAATTAGTGGTGCTGCATTCACATTGAATCTGATTTGGTCTAAGAGTTGAAAATGAAGAACAAAGAGCTACATTCAAGAGGGAGCTTGAAAATTCCATCCATACCAGGCATACTAAAACTTTACTCAAGAAAGCAGAGGGGAGAAAACCTGAAGACTTCATGAAGATGCTTTCTTCATAAAACTTTAGGGGGAGATTGTTAGAATCAAATTGATCCTAATTATTCTAAAAAGTTTTATTTAGCAATCGGGGCTAAGGATGGAATATCTGAAGATGCTGCTATGCTAAAACGACTAAGTCTGGAAGAAGGCCAGAGACCCTATGAACGTGAGAGCCCCTATGGACGACCAGAGCCTCTGGTTGTATTGACCAGAGACTCTGGACTCTAAGTCCTTTAGGACCAGATCCCCTATGAACGTCCATAGGTGCGATGAACTGCACATCTCCATAACTCCTCTGGTTGGTCTAACCTCTGGTTGGTCTATCCTCTGGTTGGTCTATCCTCTGGTTGGTCTAAACTCTGGTTGGTCTAACCTCTGGTTGGTCTAACCTTTGGTTGCTCTATCCTCTGGACGACTATCTTCAGAATCTTGAAGAATGATGCTGACCCATTTTTGATA